GCGCGACCTGGAAGGGTCTTCATTCCCTCTCACCTAATTTCATTGGGAGACTGATTCCTTGAACATCCTTCTTCCTCAAAAGCCTTTTTCTCAGATGAGTTCGATATCTGCGAAGAAATCTTCCATGAAATAAATGGTTATAAGAAAAGAAGGGCAACCTAAATTGTCTGAGTTCTTTTGGACTATCTGATGGCATCTTCCCAAAAGTAAGTTTCTCAGATGACACCAATACACGTCAACCAGTCTCGGTCCTTCGTCTCCTTGCCCTTGACGCTTTCTTCAAAGCGGCTTTCAACGATCACTAAGGCTAACCAAGACGCCCAAAGTCGCGTAAATCGTCGACAATTAAACCTTCCCCACGGTGTTCTACCATGTACAAGGAGAAGAAACCGTCTATCATTTCAATAGAAGCCCCTGCAACTCAGGATTACGAGAGAAACTTTCATGCAAAATTCTTCGCCTGGAATTTATCACAGCGAGAAAATTCTCACATGAAATTCATCAACTGACATAGGGTGTTGATTCAAAAAAATGATTTTCATCAAGTGGAGTTACAAGAGTGGGAGAGGGAAGAGTAACCCTAAGCACCTTCAAAGATTTCAGCTCACCCGAGTCAACCAGAATTCACATTCACAATCATTGGGAGCGGCTGCCTGGTTGGTATCAAGCTCGTACAAGAGTGGGAAGAAGGGGGCGTTGCTTGGGTATTATTACCTCACTATCGGCATCTAACCTTTCAATCCATGTGCTTCCAATTATTTCTGAATTTTATGACAAGTATTCAACACAACTAACAATTCGGACGAATTCTAATCCCAGTGCATTGTTCTTATACTAGAACCCTGAGCAGTCAAGGCAACTCCAGAGCTTATGGATTCTTACAGGAAAACTTCAACAAAGGAGCGATAGATGTCTCAGGAGGGCTTTAGATATGAGATACATGCGCATTGTCCCCATCCATCCATCTGCCCCACCCGCTACTCGAACCCCTCAACGAGTTTGGCGTCGGCCTGTCCGTCTTCGTAATCCTGAGCCGAGTTTAACGACATCGTCGAAGCGTTGTTAGACAGACAACGTGGTAAACCAACTCATTATTCCAGAAACGAGCTACACCAACCGGACTAAGGATAGCTACTGGGAATTGACTTCAAATTTACGAGGACAACCACAGGGTAGTGGGAGACTTGGCATGGCAAACCTATTGGCACGTCCAAGGGATAAGCCCGATAGAGGAGGAGGTCGGGTGGTATCAGGGCGGCTTACATCAGGGGGTATCAGAGAAACTGGCGGCTTACATCAGGGGGTATCAGAGAAACTGAATTACAGACAGTCCGATTATGCTTTCAACAGTTGTCTTGCGCCGTTTCGATTTTATACACGGTCCGGGATTTCCGCATGGGATTTCTCTCCTGGATACACCACCACGGAACCATAGCTTTTGAGGGTTGACGGGATTTACAGTTAACAGGTCTTCTGATTGTGATTCTTAAGCCCTTCTCAGCCTAATCCATCTTTCCCCTCTTCGATCCTTTCCCCCTTTAGTAAAAACCTTCCTATGCCTACAATATTCCCAATCGAAAGGTCATTAGAAGGTTACCCCTCCAGTAAGGAATAATGAAATTAATTTGCCATAGAAACTAAATAAAATCAGCTGTTTGATTAGTTTGCTAGATTTTGTATTCCCATGTCACCAACGAGACACCCAGAACACCGGTACTATAAACTGCACCTGTTCAGGTGATAAGACGCAGGTGGCAAGTGGCGTTGGTTATTTTGAGCACTGTAAACAGTCTAGGAAAGTGTATGTTTTCGTTTCGATTTGTTGCCCCTCTTCCTCCTGTGGGTACAATTTGGAATGGGGTGATGGTGTTGGTGACATGGACGGCGCAAAAAGCATTAAGAAAACGTAAATTCGTCAAGACGGGGTGGGAACCGGTCTCAGATGCTACCTCCGACGGACGAGGAGGCAAGCACGCAACCGCGCCGAGGATTTCGACGACGACGGGCCGAGCATCATCTCATGCACCATTTCCTTTCACGAACACAGCTAACGCCGTAAAATCCGGATTCAATCTTATGCCATTAACGCCTAATTTCGCATGAGAGATACCTCCCACTTACAAAAAAGCGAAGGCTTATTCAATTAAAAGAAGCAAATGACAACCCTGAATAAAAAAAAAACGAAGAGAGACATACCTTTTCTGCAGACTCGTCCTGGATTTCTAAGCGGGTCCCGACTGGAATCCTTCCATCCGGCCTTACATCGACATGTGTAGCCTTCGGGTGTATCGACACAGTCAGCATTCGGGTCACAGGTATGGGTTCCTAGTGAGCACTCGTCCACCACTAAATGATTCGCCTTTTAATCATGCCATTTTATTTCGCCACAGTCTTCAGATCAGTTGGGGCTGTCTGCCGGATCGGGTCATCTGAAGAATCGCAATTATCGCATCCCGGGGCCAAGCAGACCTTCTCTGACAGCTACGGCTGTCTTTTATCTGGTGGACCCCACCCAGGCGATCATTCCGCTCGGCGAATCACCCGGCGCGAACGAAACGAATCCCATCAGCCGCTCGCAATACTATTTACTCAATGTGATTTTCAAGGTGAAATGCGATTGGCTAAGGTAGGGCAACCTCGGGAGGGACTGTACTGGAACAAATCAACGCACCGGGAATCTGATCATCTTACGGAGATGCAAAGGGTGTTTGAAAGTATTCAATCATTGAACTGCTGTTGATGTCGGAACATCTTCTAGACCACTGAACCATTTGGAGGACAAATATTCGAACTAAGTAAGGTGTCAGTGCATGCATGAGTGCTCCCAAGGATCTTTGATGGGGTTCTGGCCCATATTCGTCCTTTCTTGACGGCTGCACCCAAAAGGGAAATCTAGTGACCGGTTCATGGGAGACACATCGACGACGTATAATGTGACATTTGACGATACCAATCCTGGAAATCGATTTGCATTCAAGCATGTGTTGGGAGAATGCAGGGATCTTCCTAGAATAAGTACCCCAAATGGGTCACCACCACATTTTATGAATACCTTTATGGTTTTTCATGGGACTGGAAGGAATGGGGCAAGCTCAGGTCCGAATCCCTTCGATCTCGATAGCTTTGAGTAAAAGGCTCTCTCATTTGAGCACTCGCTAAAAACGGAATTCTGACTTTCTGAATCCTGACAGGGAACGGATAGATCTCACGGAAGGGGCCCTCCCAGGCAATCAGTCATATACATAGCTGTCAAAATCGGCTCTGAAAAGCATTCCAAAGGATGAAAGTGGTTGGTTTCGTTTTCAAAGGACGACGGGGCGTTGTACTAGAAACTGCCTTGACCCGAATGTGGGTCGGTGATGATTTGGTGAAGGGAATAAAACACTGAAATGGACGACAGAATGCAGTGGATTGGGCAAAACAAGAGGAGAAATTGCGCTGCGACGACATCCAAGGTAGTAAGTGAACGAAGATAAGGAAAAACAAGTAAGAAAGGAAAATAAACAAAAGAAATGCGAAAATGTGAGATATTCGCCTCTAATCGGCCATTTCAAGGCCAAAGACGGTCGAACAATGAGGGTTTCACCATCAAGAGCAACTGAAAGAGCCTCCGTAAGGTTAGAAAAAATGGAGTGAAAAACGATACAACGGTAGGAAATGATTGTCAATACGACTACACGAAAAGTCATAGTGAATGAGGAATCCAAAAAAACACAATGAACTATTACCTCTAACGCATTTCCGTCCCGGATTCCGTTTGTCGGGCGAAACGTCGATAAAACCTTTGGGACAGCGGCATTGGAAGTATCCCGGTTGTTCTGAATAGCACTCGGCTACAGAATCGCAGTCATGGAGTGAATAGTCCTGGCAGGGGTTCGATCCTGAAAAAAAAAACCCGATCAGTTCCAAGCTAGGGCCAGTGGTTTTCTACTCAGCAAGCAAAAAGCAAGCAGGGGTTGTTTATAGGAAAAAGTCATGCACTTTTATTCGTAAACAACTCGTATTTGTGTCTGACACACAACCTTCCGAAGGTTGCCATCAGAGGACCCTCGACAGTTTGCTAGCAATTAGCTGGGTCGCTGGACGAGCTGTCAACCCGCACGGTTCGTTACCCACAGTGTCCAGCGAGTATCACGATAATTGAACTAGTTTTAGGGCTCGGCAAGTCAGTTTGTTTCGCTAGAGCTTGTTACAACAAAAAAAAAGCAAACCGAAAGTTAATTCGAACAAAAAAAACTGCAATCACGAAGAAAGCGAAATCCAAGAAAGAGTACAAACCGCTTTGGCAAGCACGACAAGATGATATCGATGAATCTGAATATGATATCGGATTACTCACCTAAGGAAAATACCGTCCCTAGGACCAAAGCCCCAATGTAGAGGCGGATCATACGCGAGATTCAGCAGCTGAACTCGCAGACGAGTGGGGAATGAACGGGGGCGGGCCCCCGATGCGGGATGTTCCCGCGCACCCCCCACCATCGTCTGTCGATCTTGTACTCCAACACAGGTGGCAATTTAGCTTTTAAATAATAGTTTAGGAAGATTTAATGAGTACTGAGACATACGTGTGAGCTTCGAGCAATTCTGACCAGGATTGATTGGGTTTAGATCCTGGAAACCGGGCAGGCAGGTGCACACCACACTTCCTCCGGCTGTTGGCACGCAATGCGACGTTGATGAGTTGCATCCCTCACATTCAATGCTCACTGAAAAGAACTTTTCGATTTTTGCTTTTTTCCTCTCTGAACCGACAAACTACTGTTATCGCCAGGGGTTTTTCGAATCACGATCTCGATTATCAGTTTTCTAACTGGGTCGAGTAAGTTACCGCCTAGAATGGTTGATAAAGAGAAGTATGTAGGTGACCCCGTTAAGTGCATTTCTCCTTTTGTCACAAAGACCTTCCAGACATTTTGGATTTAATCAAAATGTTACATAGGTGTAAACTAGGTTGACGATATTCACTTATGATGTGGGTGAAGATCGTACGGAGATAAGACCACTGCGGGGACCATCGGATTATAAACCACAAAGGTAAAGGACTAGTGACCCGAAAAGGTGAACATTTTGGTCCCCAGGGAAAGGGAATCCACGGGAGGGAAGTCCAAATCTCGTCATATGAGAGCTGAGGCTGCTTTATACCAAAAAGTGAGGTGGAGTTCCAACTCCGACCTGGAGATTTCCAAGAAAAACCCGTTTTCTGATAATCCATGATCACCCCTTTTAAAGGATAAGGATTGTGTTTCGTCAGAAGATTCACGCATACTCTCATTAGGGAGTGCATTCGAAGTGGGGACCCTTAACATCGGGTTAAGACTCATTAAGCAGTCACCCACGGTTCTGGTCACTCGGTGGAAACTGTTGCCTATGTGGGAGTTAAAGTTGAGCGCATCCACCAGTCCTGCACACTGCGGATTTCACCTCCTTTGAACAAATTTTTCTACAAAATGTGTTGCCATGTGATTTCATTCAGCACAATGGACTTGCTTACTTACAGTATTCAGAACTGAGCTGCTATGATCGCTCTGGATAAAGAATATAGGATTAATATGTCTTTATGCGTTAATCAATCCCGTCCGGTGAGAACGCGCCCCGCATTCGACTTCCATTCAGAATCGTAGTGGCGTATTGAATGCGTATGTGGCCTATACAATGACTCGCGGTGGCCAGCTGATGTACGGGTCTGGGCTTTTATCCTCTCAGACGAGTCTCACTCCAATTAACCGACCCCGGATGGACGGAAGGCTTGGTTCAGGCAGATATCGGTCCAGGATTCGAACCTGTGACCATGCGTGTGAGATAGGGCGCCACTTGCAATTATACCATTTCCACACATCATACTGGGTACCAGAAATTAATCAGCAAGTGGAATACTGACCTGTTAGTTCAGTGACAACATCTGAATCCATCGCATATGAAGATCATGTCAGTTCTTCTTCGGAGCCACCATGAATCCCCACCACATCTGGTCTACTAATTCCCTCCCTGGGACTACAAAATACCCATCATATCTTTGTCTGCTCTGAAGGGGACTTCCGACCCACCAAATCATTTCATACTCATACTTAAAGTTTTCCCGAGCATGGCCCTTCTTTACTTCCGCCTTCTCCTCCTTTTGTTCCTTTCGGAAACTTTCGTATCCATCGACCAGGATGGTTTTGATTGAATCGGCTCGTGCTTTGGAATAAGAAGCAGACCGGTGGCTAGTTGATGTAATGAGTTTGATCAGAGGCTTGCGGACATCAGCTCTAAACCGGAACGAGTCGCCAGGCTGAATGAGTTTCGCTGTCTCGGCAAGGCTATCCGCCGAGTGATGGCTGTTCCGAAAGAATTTAATGGCGTAACCTTGCTATCTTGATACGGACGGACACCTGCCCAACCCTTTTCCATCATTGACACACATTTCTATCACCGCATGATTTAATTCAGTTGAATACTTACGTTGTACACATAGACGACCAGGTTTCGAGGGATCTTTAGAGGCATCAGCGAATCCGAATGGGCAGTGGCAGCGATAGCCGATCGGTTCATCGCGGCAAATGGCGTTGGGATCGCAATCATGTAGCTTCTCAGCACATTCGTTAACTTCTAAAAGTTCAAGTCTTTAAAGATCATCAAACTATTCGCTGCAGGACCCACGTTGAGTGCAATTTCTGCCAGGTCGACCTGGCGGTGATGTGTCTGCGAAGCCGGGAACGCAACGGCATGCGTATCCTACCGCTTTGTCAATGCACTTTGCATTTGGAGAGCAGTCGTTCAAACGGGCGTCTGAGCACTCGTTGACCACTGAAAGGAAGAGATTGATCATTTGGAAGTCGGAAATTCGTAGATAGGGCGCTTTGTCATGTTCCAACAAATGTCGTTCCTGAAACGGTCCCTTCTATTGCTACGGTAAACTGTAGCTTTCTAGCGTCAGGATATCTCGTGCGTTCTGTAGTTGTAAGAATTCATGATAAGAAAAATGTTAGTGAGGTCTTGGAGGGGGGTTTAATGTGCAGTAAGGGGAGTATCATGTAAGTGTGCTTGTTTCATTACAAGTGCTTTCTGATCAGGCAATCTTCTGAGTCGTGATATAGCAATTACGTCACTAAGCGAGTTTTCATCGAGAAAGCGGTCAGCATTTCGCTCCGTATTGAGTACAGAGAAGGGGATGAGAATCGCTTCGTGGATTGAGAACGGAAGAAAACAAGCAGCTTATTTCCACCATGTCATTCGTCAGGGAGACTATAGGCGAACTGCCTGCTACGGTGTACGGATTCGGAACGGGAAATCAGTGACTGCTCTCCCTATCGCGTTGCATTAAGGAGAACTGGGCTGTATCGTTTTTTCAAAGATCAACGAATGAATGGAAACAGCGGAAATCGTCGACGTATAGAAATGGCGTTGGTAAGGTGTAAGTTGTCACATTTTTGGCAGCCATTCAATGGTTGTCTGATTTCATCTTGTGGGTACTTTTAAAGTCCTTTTAATTCAGGTAAAGTATTGAAATTCTGATTCTTGCCTTTGCCTCTTACATTGCTCGTTAACATGTTCCCTAGCCATCAATTCATTCTTACTTAAAGGATAAAGTATTAAGTCTTGGAGCGTTCATCAATTCCGTCTGAGGGATGCGCCCATGCATTCGACTTCCACTCAGAATCGTAGTGGCGTATCGAATGCGTACAGGGCCTATAGAATGACTTGCTGTGGCCAGTCGACGTAGAAGTCAGTGCTTTTATCCTCCCAGACGAGTCTGTTACCAATGAGCCGACCCCGGAGGGATGGAACGCTTGGTTGGTCTAGTGCATTCTTACTTATTTTACTTATTACCCAAGCCCTGACTAAACCTCATGGGACTAATAGCGAAGAGAGTGGCACTGAAGCGTCAGGGGCAGAACAGTGTCTCAATGTCCGAGTGTCAACGCAACCATTACGCAACCCAAAGCTGATCTAGAAGGATCCCTTGAATCAGGTACTGTCACGCCAGTTGTTAGTATAGGAACAGAGCATACTCTAAGGAATTCGAAACCTGTTACTCAAATGACGATTGCCCTAGTGGGCCATGCATAGGGGCATTCGTTGATAAATGCAATCGTTAGGGATGCGTGAACCTTTTCAGTGCAAAACGGATGTCGACAATGGAAGACCGAAGTGTGCATGTTCTGAGCACAAGTTCTGCGATTGAAATGAGAGTTTGAAAAAGGCTGGACACCCGTTCTTCATAGATGCCATGGCGATGTTCTGCAATCGGAAGACGTGCACAGCTGGCACTGCGGGGGACGACTCTTTCGACTACAATGTAATCCGGACGATGCATACGTCGGTTTCTAGTCATTTTACGAACTATCTCACGGATCAATAATAGTACTCGATGACTCGATCGATTTTTGTAACATAGTGTTTCCAAAAATACAAGCTGTGCATGCTGTTTTTCTTATAAAGTTCTGTCGACCTTGAAAAAAAATATCACGTGTTTTTGGTAAAGAGCAGTGCAGAAAGTGCAGAGCACTCGGTGAGAATTAGCCTCTTTCCATGCTAGTGTCCTCGTGCAATTGACAGCAACCCAGGATTAAGAAGGCACTTTGTGTCTGCTATGACCCCTCGTAAAATGGAAATCACCCAACTCCTTGTAGACCTTCTGTGAGAATGTCATTTGCTCCCTTCTTACGATCCCTCCGTATAGGTGTAGCTCCACATATTCAAAAACCGCTTGCTCACTTGATGGCTTACTTGGAATTGAGAAAGACTCGATCGAGGTGGCCGAAGGATATAGGATTAATCCCTTAGGCATTAATCAATCTCGCCTGAGGGATATGCCCCGCATTCGCTTTCATTTGGAGTCGCAGTAGCGTATTGAAGGCGTAT